GTTGCACAAAACTACAGGAGTGCAGCTGGAGCACTCAATTATCCTTGTCAGACACACAAGAAAACTCATCTTAATCTTTACACATTATATAGGCAATAAGCATACAGCACCACGACGCTCAACTAATCTTCACAAAGATGACAAACTTAAACCCACAACTAGTATCACACGAGCACCACCACTAAAGCTGAGTTACCCTTGGGGTCACGCAACCCTAGACCTGAACCGGGCGGATTTACGAAGCGAACAGTACCTCATGCTCTCGAGCGCGAGCTTCTGCACGCCGGGATCCGCGTCCTGCGCCCGCACGACGTAGAGCTCCAGCTGCTCCTTGAGCGCCAGATCTTCCTCCGACTGCGGCACCATCCGACACGTCAGTCGAAAGCAAAAACCCCAGATCGAAACAGGAGGAGCGAGATTTTAGCCCCCGCAATTCAACCTCTCCTAGGGCTCGAAGCGGGGCGGACTCACCAGATCGTCATCCTTCTTCTCGTCCTTCTTCTTCCCCTTCCCCTTGGCCGCGGCCGCCGGCGGCGGGGGTTGCGACGGCTCGGCCGGCGCCGCGGGGCTGGGGTTCTCGGGGGGAGCCATGCCTGCCTGAGGGGTTCAGCGGCTGATGCACCGGCAGGACAGACGGACGGACGGAAGGGCGGGGCTAGGGTTGGGCTCGCGGCGCTACGCGGTGAGCCGCCTCCGGTCGCGTGCGGCGGAAGTGAGGCAGCGGAGGGGAAGAGGGGGATCCGCTTTGCCTGTGCTTTGTTGTTCGTATTAAATTATGGAGATGGAGAAGGGACGGGGAAGGCGTGCTAGCGTAGAACCACGCCGCAAGTCCATTCCCGTCTCAACGCACTTTTGCCCCTCGCCCAAGAAGAATAGACGTGGGCCGGGCGGTTGTTCTTTCGGGCCCGCGGATTCGTAACTAGCACTAGGAGGGCTGTGTTTTGTTAGTGGGCCTAATTAGCCCGAAAAGGGCTCTGAACTCAGTAAGCCCCGTTAAGCTGTCGAACATCTGGCTCTGGGCCTTGGGTGGGTCCACAACGGCATGGCTCTTTCGAAAAGTGAGGATAAAATTGCGAAGTTGGAAAGAGTTCAAAGATAGGGTAAAGAATATTTCTTGTCTTTTTTTTCTTCAAAATTACATAGTAGAAATGTACACACTCGTACTTAGCTTGATGAGTGTATGTGAAAGACTGATGAGGTTAAGATATTAAATTTTTGATTGACAAAGTCACCGCAGGCCTCATTATCTACGAATGTGTCGCCTATTATCGAACAAACATTGTTGATTGCAATATTAATGATTGGGGGTGTAGTCATTAGTTTTAATTATACGTCTCTATTGGCTAGCTAGGTCCTGCTAAAAGTTTTAAAATCAACTATTCACCCTCCTCTAGTTGGTCTCCTTGATCGCCCTAGACCACCCAATCCACATCCCTCATTTAAGTTGACCTAGGTAGGCTATGCCACTCACATGACAAACCTTACGACCATAGTCAAATGTTTTGGAGATGATTCTTTTATTTCGTGGTTGGCGACACTGTTTGTAAACATCATTGACTTCCACTACGAGAATGGCGGGCTTGAGCGGATCCACGGTGGGTTTTGTGGGCCTTCGCGGCGGGCCTCCACAGCTAGGGGGTTCACCAAATGGTCAATTTTGCATTTCTAAAGTTCATTTGCGGATGCCGGTAAATCTTACCACTTGTGAATTTCCTGACTTACACGGTCCTTTGCCTCTAAAAACCAATTTTCCCCGTGTCAATAAATTGCTACTGTTTTCCTTTTTATGTATATATTTCTCCCTGCACAGCTTTTTGTTTAATTAAAATAACTCGTCCAATGAGATCATTACTAGATTTGTTTATTTCTCCTATTGTTAGTGTTGTTTTCCTGCATTATTTATGTGGAATTTTGCCGCGAGAGCACTGTACCGCCTAAGCTTTCAAGAGCACGTCAAATGTTTCCCGGGAGGAACTCCAACAAACCAAACAGATGTGATGCACGCTAAGGCATTATTAGCCTAGCAAATTACTAGCATGAATTTCTCACACGCTTCTAATAAGCGATAGCGATCAAGCCCAGGGCCAGCTCATGTTGTGGGGAAAAAGAGAAGAGACAGAATCAAAATTATTCAGCCTGTTCGCTTGCTCATACACGATCGTGGATTATAAGCTGGAACAATATTTTTCTCTCACACCAAATCAGCCAGCAGTAAATAATCCACGATCGTTTACGGCCTGCCGAACAGGCTGATTATTATCTCCATGACTCGGATGTCCGGTTCGCTCTGCTGTTCACGTCACCCCATCCCCATCCAACTTCGATTTCCGTGGCAAATGAACGGGAGTGACGAGAAGCAGTGGGAAGGGGGTGTTAAGCTTCCAGCTCGCAGTGTAAATGGATAAATGATTCTCATCAGCTCATAGTGTTTGGCAGGGCTCTGCGTAAGATAAGAGTGAAGTAGGAGCTAAGAGCTGTGCCAAAGAGGCCCCTAATAGTCTCCTATAAAAAAATCATGCCATCCCAATGTTGTCCCGTCCTCTCCTTCGTGTCTTCTAGTCTCGTCTCCCACCACCTTTCCTCATAGTCATAGCGTCCCCGTCAACGTCGGCCGTCGCCGTCCCGAGCTCGACAACAGCGTATCCAAGGTTTGCCTCCTTCTTACCCATTACCACTCGCAAGTCACAATCTTCATTGGACACCTCTAAGCTATCGCTCTGCCACAACGAGTAACAACATTATACTAGAGTTAAAACACATACTCCCCCTATCCCATAAAAAATATCATTCTCGCTTCACAATAAGTCAATTATCATTAACTTTGACCAAACATATATAACAATATATGTCTGACATTTATGGTACGTGATTAGTATTATTAGATAGATCTTTGAATATATTTTTATAATACACTTATTTGAAGATACAAATGTTACTAATATTTTTTACAAATATAGTTAAACTTAAAAAAAATTGACCAGCACGAGTCTCATACTGACCAGATGGAGGGAGTATTTTTTGATAATTATTATTAGTTCAACGAGATTATCTATTGTACATTATTACTCCATCTATTCCAAATTATAAGTCATTTTAACTTTTTTTATAAATAGAATTTGCTATGTATCAAGACATACGTTATATCTAAATGTATAGCAAAACAAATGTATAAAATGTCAAATCAACTTATAATTTAGAAAAGAGGGAGTAAATCACGTTGTTATAAAACGTGCAACCTTGCATTTATTATGAGTATATCGTAACGAGCATGAGCATGAATACAAAGAACATGCTCCACTCCAAGTTGTACTGTTGTAATGACAATGCAATACTTGCAGCAGCTAGCAGTTTTTCCAGTTTGATGCGTTATATATAGGTGGCGCCAACGATCTCTCTTCCCCCTATGGTCTGCACTATACAGACACCTCCGAGTATAGTTGGCCATTTGACTCGGGCACTACGGGCCGGCTCAAGCACGACACGAATCAGCACGGCCCGGCCCGATGGCCTTCGTGCCGGTGCCTGGCACGGCCCGGCCTTAGTGCCGTGCCTGGGCCGCCATTCTGGCTCGTAGTGCCGGCCCGGGCACGACATGCTATATGGGCCGGCCCGGCAGCGAGGCACGGCTCGGCCGCAGGTGGCCGTTGGATCCCCGGCGTCGCTCCCATCCGACCGTTGGATCCGGCCGTTGGAATCGGAGGTATAAAACCGCAGCGCTCTCGCCTCGCTCTCAGTCTCCGTTGCCCTAATTTATTTGCTCTCAGTGACTCAGTCTCACTCTCTGTCTCTCTCGCCTCGCTCTCGGCTCTCCCCCGCAGCGCCGTCTCGCCCGCTCCTCTCTCGCCTCGCTCTCCTCTCTCGGCAAGTCGGCGTCCCCGCGTCGGCGACTCGCTCTCCTCTCTCGCCTCCGACTTCCTCTCTTCTTCTCGCTCTCTGGTGGCCTCTGGAGCCATCGCTGGCCGGCACTGGCACAATCCCTAACCCTAACCCTTGCTCAATCCCTAACCCTAACCCTAACCCTTGCTCAATCCCTAACCCTAACCCTTGATCCGTCGGTTTCCTCGCCGGATCCGTCGGATCTCCGGCCTCGCTCCCATCGGACCGTTGGATCCGGCCGTTGGAATAGCTGGCCGGCACTAGCACAATCCCTAACCCTAACCCTTGATCTCGCTTCGTCCTCGCCGTATCCGTCGTCGACCTCGCCGGATCCGTCGGTTTCCTCTCTGGATCCGTCGGTTTCCTCGCCGGATCCATCCCTCGTCGTCTGTGCTCGACGGATCCGTGCCTCGTCGACCTCGCCGGTGACTCTAGTGCTCCGGCTTTGAAGGTAAGTCCATAACCCTAACCCTAACTCTAACCCTAACCCTCAATCTGTACTAACCCTTACTCTATTTTGTCTGAAGCCGTTGAGGGACCGGGCGCCGACGAGTGACGAGTGGCGATGTTATTTTGTTCTCTGCTGTGTTTGTGTGATTATGTGACTTTGAGTCTTTGATAAGTTCTCTGAACATGTAACTTTGTGTGACTTAGACTCTTTGATAAGTTCTTTGATTCTGATCCGTTTGTGATTCTAATCACTTTGTGTGACTCTTTGATTCTGATCAGTTTGTGATTCTGATCAATTTGTGATTCTGATCAGTTTGTGATTTTGAACATTCAGACTTTGTGATTCTGATCAGTTTGAAGTGTTGATCACTTATAGTGCCGGTCTTCAAGACGGCATCGCTGGGGGCAGCCGCCGCCCAAAGGATGACGCGACGCACGACTAAGAGACGATAGTGTCATGTTCGGGCAAGGCACATCGGCACGGCGGCACTAACAGGCATGGCACGGCTAGTCTACCGTGTCGCGCAGTGCCGTGCCGTGCCTGGCCGTGCCCATGCTAATGCCGTGCCGTGCGACCTATTTGGCCAACTATACCTCCGAGGCACCGATCCATCCCACTCCAAGAAAACCAGCTAGTCACGCACCTCACCTACCTAGCTCTGCGACGATGTGCAATGGCGAGACCAAAGCCGCGACGGCCGCGGCGCCGCCGCCCCCGGCTGGCGCTGCTCTCGTCGTCGGGGCATGGGCCACGTGGCGCCGCTGGCCGAGCTGGCGCAGCGGCTGCACGAGGCACACGGCTTCACCACCACCGTGCTCACCTACGCCAGCTCCAACTCCACCGCGCAGCGCGCGTTCCTGGCGTCCCTGCCGCCGACGCCGTGGGCGACGCGTCGCTCCCGCCCATCCCGCTGGACGACCTCCCCGCGGGCTCCGCCATCGAGATGCTGCTCTCCGTCGAGGCGCAGCGGTCCGTCCCGGCGCTCATGGCGGTGCTGACGGACCTCAGGTCCCGGACGGGCAACAACCTCGTCGCGTTCGTCGCCGACCTCTTCGGCGCCGACACGCTGCGGGCGGCGTGCGACGCCGGGGTGCCCGGGTACCTCTTCTTCCCGTCCAACCTCCTCATGCTCTCGCTGATGCTCCACCTCCCGCGCCTCGACGCGGAACTCACCTCCACCATTGGAGAGTTCGCGACATGCCGGAGCCCGTCAGGCTCCCCGGCTGCGTGCCGGTGCCCGGCGCCGACATCCTGCAGCCGCTCTAGGACCGCGCCAGCGACGCGTGCCGGTGAATGGTGCACCACGGCGAGAGGTACCGCGACGCGGCCGGCATATTGGTGAACACGTTCGACGCCGACGAGCCCGGCGCCGAGGCCGTGCTCCGGCGGCCCGAGCCGTGGCGCCCGCCGGTGTACCCGGTCGGGCGCATCACACGTCGGGCGACGACCGCCGCGCAGCCGGAGCAGTCGGTGCTGTTTGTGTCGTTCGGCAGCGGCGGCGCGCTGTCTGCGGGGCAGACGCGCGAGCTGGCACACCGCGGGCTAGAGCTGTCCGGGGCACGGTTCCTGTCAGCGGCGGGTCTAGGATTTTGAGGTCGGGTATTAAAATATAAAAGGGTGTTAATTTTTTTACAACCAAACCTTAATATTTAGCATCACAATTGATAATATTGTATATGCAATTTTTTTGTGAGGATACTGTATAGGTAAAGCAAGTTTTCATATATTTTTAGAATTTAAGTATAATTTAAAATTATTTTAATATCAATAGTTCAACATAGCAAAGTGACAAAATATTAAATATATAGTCATATAGAGGAATAAGAAAACTTATACAGTTAAACTCAGCAAAAAAAATGATAAGGATAAACTCAGCAATTGAGCGTGAGCTGCTGCTGTGCACCTTGCTTGGCTGCTCCCGGAGTCCCTGTCACCGCTGCTCGATAGCTCGGTTGCAGCCCCGCGTGCGGCCGCAGTTGCTAGCAGGCAGCAGCCCCAGATGCCCTGGCCCCCAGCCCCACGCAGTCAACAACGCTGCTTCATGCTTGAGTGGGCGGCTGCAGACCCGGCAGCCCCACGCCGGCCGTCGTCACTTCTTTCCAATACATATACACATAAACATTGTATCTATAAATTTTCTTGTCAAAAATTTTGGGTATTCAACTGAATACCCTTGAATATAGCTGGGCCCGCCCCTGGTTCCTGTGGGTGGTGAGGAGCCCCACCGACGGCGGCGGCGGCGGCAACCCCGGGGAGAGCTACTATGACCGGTCGAAAAGCATGGACGACCCGCTGAGCTGCCTCCTGCCGGGTTCGTGGAGAGGACCAAGGCGGCGGGCCATGTGGTGCCATCGTGGGCGCCGCAGGCCAGGGTCTTCGCGCACCGCGCCACCATAGCGATGCTGACGCACTGCGGGTGGAACTCGATGATGGAGAGCGTGGTGAGCGGGGTGCCCATGGTGGCGTGCCCGCTGTACGCCGAGCAGCGGGAGAACGCCATGCTGCTGTGCGAGGAGACCCGGGCGGCGCTCAGTCCTCGGGCCCGCAGCGCCGACAGGATGGTCCTCGTGGAGACATCGCCGAGGTCGTGAGGGAGATGATGCTGATAGAAAAATACAGGATCAACTAGCCATAGATCTAGCATGTGTACTTATATTTGTGATAAATAGCGAGTCCTATAACATGTATTAGTACGAGATTAACAGATAGAGAGTGAGAGAGAGAGAGGGGTTGCGGAGATGCAAACCATCAACCGCCTTCATAGAAGATGAGCTGGCCATGGGTTGCTTAATGGTGGCATGGTGAAGCCCGGCAGTGAAGGCGCTGTCGCAGTGGTGAAAGGTCCTAATATGGCTAGAGGGGGTGAATAGCCTATTTAAAAATCTACAAACCAACTAAAGCAATTTTATTAGTATAACAAATAGCGAAATGCAAACTTGCTCTAGCTCTACAAGGGTTGCAAGCCACCTATGCAACAATTCTAGTTGCTATGATCACTAAACACACAATTTTCTATGTCACTACTCAGTAAGAGCTCTCACACTTGCTACACTAAAGAGCTCCACTAGATGAACTTAAACTACAAAGCAAGCTCTCAATTCTAGCTACACTAAAGAGCTTGCTACAACTAGTTTACAATAATATAAATGAGTGAGTAGAGTGATTATACCACCGTGTAGACGAGTGAACCAATCACAAGATGAATACTAAATCAATCACCGGGAGAATACCAAAGGGCAAGAAACAACCAATTTTTCTCCCGAGGTTCACGTGCTTGTCGGCACGCTAATCCCCGTTGTGTCGACCAACACTTGGTGGTTCGGCGGCTAAGAGATGTTGCACGAACCTCGTCCACATAATTAGACACCGCAAGAACCTACCCACAAGTGAGGTAACTCAATGACATGAGCAATCCACTAGAGTTACCTTTTGACGCTCTGCTGGGGAAGGCATAAGACCCCTTACAATCACCACGATCGGAGCCGGAGACAATCACCAACCTCCACTCGACGATCCTCGCTGCTTCAAGCCGTCTAGGTGGCGTCAACCACCAAGAGATACAAGTGAATCCCACAGCGAAACACGAATACCAAGTGCCTCTAGATGCAATCACTCAAGCAATGCACTTGGATTCTCTCCTAATCTCACAAAGATGATGAATCAATGATGGAGATGAGTGGGAGGGCTTTTGCTAAGCTCACTAGGTTGCTATGTCAATGTAACTAGCCAAGAACCTAAGCTTGAGCTAGCCATGGGGCTTAAATAGAAGCCCCCACGAAATAGAGTCGTTGGCTCCTCAATCCACTGAAAAATAAGACGACCGGACACGCCAGTCAGATCGACCGGATGCTGGACCTCAACATCCGGTCGCGCGATGCACACCACGTGGCCCCTGCTTCAAACGTTGATCGCCCGATCTCAACAGTCATCAGTACATTTAAGTTGTGACCAGACGCGCTGCTTTGAAGTGACCGGACGTAGGACCCCAGCGTCCGGTCGTTTCCAGTAAGGTTTCACTCGCGACCGGACGTGTTCGGTCACGCCCGACCGGACTCACCCAGCATCCGGTCACTCACCGTCTCCTCTGTGCGATGCCATGTCAACGTACGTCAGCACTGACCGGACACAGGCCCTTAGCGTCTGGTCACTCTTCGTGCCAGCGTCCGGTCATAAGACCGAGACAGCGCGCTCACTGCTTCACCACTTGGAATAGTGCTACCTATCTCATAATCACTTTGATAAACTAGGTTAGCACTTAGAGTTTCATCAATTAAACAAAATCAAACTAGAGCTTTCAATCTCCCCCTTTTTAGTAATTGATGACAACCCTTACACAAAGATATGAATTGAGATTTAATTGAATCCACGTTGCTTGTCCAAGCATATTTACCATGTGTAAAAGGATATGGACAAGTTTCATAAATCCCATATGGTAGCAATTGCTCCCCCTACATATGTGCTAAGAGTTTGGATTAAAACTTGCACATTTGCTTAGATAGGAAATATAGGAGACAATCTCTACCAAATGATGCTAAGGTATAAGAGATGGACTTTTGAAGCGTGATACCAATCGGAGTGCACCAATATACCATCCTTAGCACCATTAGTAACTAGACATATACAAAAACTAGAATACCCTATGAGATCAACATTACAAGCAAGGATCTAGTTTCCATAGAGTGAACATAAGTCTAGTTACTTTAGCCTATGCATGCTAGTTTTTCATTTCACCATTCAAGTATAGAACTAGCATACACCACATAAGCATGGATATTGAAATTTAAAACTTGTGCCATGCAGGCAAATATATGAAATGCACATTCAAATGCAACATTCAAGTTTATGAGCTTACTCCCCCTACTTGTGTGCATTTGATTGATCCCCTTACAATATCATTTCATTTGTTTTTTCCTCCTAATCTTATTATCTTTGTGAATTTCTCTCCCCTTTGTCAACAATTAGCACAAAAGGCGAGCTCAAATTATAGATAGGTTGGGGTGAAACCATGTGAAATGAGGATCATTTTCCCAATTTGGTTCAATCTAGATCACTTGCAAAAGATATTTAACTCGGTTTGATCCAAGGACAAGCTTCTTCACACCTCCAAATAAGGGTTATCTTGTACCATGTTGAGTTAAACACTTATAGCTTAATTTCTAGATCAAACACTAGGTTTATAAGCCCACAAACATGTCATATGCTACCACTAGATCATTTCAAACATACAAGCAATAGTGGTACCATACAAGCATCAAATTCATTTGATTTTCATGAATGAGCCTAGGACATGATAGAAATGACTAGATGCACTAAACAAGTCCTTAGCAATAGATGGATGACATGTCAATCAATTTTACCTTTCTTTGCTCGAAGGAGAGGCATGTCATATAATGGGAGGGTGTATCAACACATATTGGAGAAGTCAAGTATATTCAATTCATTCCTTAGCTTGAAAAACCTCTTCTCATCAAGTGGCTTGGTGAAGATATCGGCAAATTGATCTTCGGTGCCCACACTCTCAATGCAAAATATCCCCTTTTTGTTGATGATCTCTTATGAAATGATGGCGGACATCAATGTAATTTGTTCTTGCATGTTGAACCGGATTGTTGGTTAACTTGATTGCACTCTCATTATCACATAGCAATGACACTTTCTTGAACTTGATTCCAAAGTCACTCAAAGTAACCTTCATCCAAAGCAATTGAGCACAACAACTACCGGCCGAAATGTACTCCGCTTCGACGGTTGAAAGTGCTACACTATTTTGCTTCTTTGATGACCAAGAGACAAGTGATCTTCCCAATAGTTGACATGTGCCCGATGTGCTCTTTCTCTCAACTTTGCATCCCGCATAATCGGAGTCCGAATATCTAATCAACTCAAATCTTGCTCCTTTGGGATAACACAATCCAACATTTTGTGTATGCTTCAAGTACCTCAATATTCTCTTTGTTGCCTTCAAATGACTTTCTCTTGGTGAGGCTTGAAATATAGCACACATGCATACACTAAACATCACATCCGGCCTTGATACGGTCACATAAAATAGGCTTCCAATCATAGATCGATATATCTTTTGATCCACCATGTTGCCACTAGCATCACTATCCAAGCTTTCACTTGTTCCCATTGGTGTACTAATAGCTTTAGCATCATCTATTCCAAACTTCTTGAGCATGTCCTTGATATACTTGCCTTGACTCACAAATGTGCCATTCTTCATTTGCTTGATTTGAAGACCAAGGAAGTAACTAAGCTCTCCAATCATGGACATCTCAAACTCACTTGCCATCATCTTGCCAAACTTTTCACAAAAACCTTGATTTGTTGACCCAAATA